CGATTCACTGATAAGGAATTGTTTTAAGGTTTCACTGCAATAAATTTGACTTAACAGGGCTGTTCAAGAGTTTCATGTTACAGATTGTATTTAATCAAACTTAACTAAATGTCTTTAACATTAACGTGTTGGGGAGGTTTTAATTTCCGGTCTGATGTTGTAAACCACGTGCGTTAACTTCAAATGTGATTTTTATTCTACCTTGTAATCTATAGTACAATGTGACAACAATATATGATATTAAACATTTTCTTCTGTTTTTTATGGAATGCCGGTAGGGACATGCCAATTTGCTTATTTGCCAATTGCTTAATTGCTTATTTGCTGATTGCCGATTTGCTTATTTGCCAATGGCTGATAGGCTTAACGACAAATTTGCTTATTTACCATTTGCTGAATTGCTAATTTGCTTATTTGTTAACCGCTGGTTTACGTTTTTGCTTATTTGCCAATTGCTAATTTGCTTTTTTGCAATAGAAATACTTTGCACTGTGCCGGAAATATATGGAAAATCTGACTACAGACAGCCAGTTGAGTCAGATCTGTTAACTTTTACCAACAGTATTCTTGTAAATTCAGTGTTTTTCCAAGAATACTGTTGGTCAATGAATTTAGTTGCAGTGATGCCTACGCAGATATATGTCTACAACTGATGGCTGACATGTCCTTGAGAACACAGACGCTTGGGGGTCGGATCCTGTACCCCAACGTGATACGTGCCCCTGTAAACACTCTATCTAAAATATTTTAATATTTTAACACGAATTGGACATCGTTAAAACTGGTTTTCAAGCAATTTTTACATATACCGGTATGAAAAAATACCATATACCACCAAGTCTCAATAAAGTACTTAATGGTTTTATCGTTGTAACAAATGTCCAATTCGTATTTAAATAAATATTAAAATAGATTTGATATAGTGTTTACTGACGCGTATCACGTTAGGGGCAGGGTCTGACCCGCCAGCATCTGTGCTTGAGGATGCCTTATAATGTGTTGCAGCTATAGATCTGTTTGTGCAGCTTAAGTCAGAGATTGATGGCATAATAAACACTTGATTAGTCATATATAAGTGAAATTTATTGGGGAAAGATTGAAAATAAAAATAACTTGAAAAAAAAAACTATTTCTTATTTTATGGCATATAAAATGTCGTTATTCTCAGCAGATTTGTCACAGAGGGCCTCATTGTAGTGGTACAAACACATAGTATCACGAATGATACATTTGGTGCATGCTTAACATGGGTGATTGTCTTTGCACTTAAGCAATAGGCTGCGTTTTTAGCTCTGTGAGATTTTGAGATCACTTAAATCTGTGTGTGCATCAACATTTTGCTTTGGTTCAATGTTTTTGAAATTTGGTCACACTTTTCCATTTCTTCATGTTGTACATTTTACATGCTATCAGGTGACCATGACCATGATCATGACCTAGGGTATAATGGTCAAAGCCTCTTTGAATATTGTGTATGCATGCTGCCTATTTAATGCTTATTTGAAGTTACAGTTAGATATAAGCAATAGTAACAGAGAAATGACAGAAAAACAAAGGCTTCTCAGTACAATACATTGGTGACCTTGACATTAAGTATATAACGGGCACAGCTTCTTCATGTACCTTGTTTGCATGCTGGTAACGCAAAGTTTATGCAAAGTTGCAGTAAGATGCATGCATGAATCGGCAAAAGTAACAGAGATATGACAGAAAAACAAGTTACCAAGAAAACCAATGCATTGGTGGGTAGAATAGCATCCCTATTCTCTGAATAGTGGAGCTAAAACTGAAAAAAACAACTGCTTTCTGAAACTGAATTTATTTTTTTCGAAATTGATTAAAATGTATCCATCTGTCTTTCTACCTATATTCTAGGTACTGATGGATTGATAATAATTGTCACAAATTATAATTAACAAAACTTTATAAACATAATAACATGATATAGGTTCATGAGCTTGAAATAAAGTCTACAAAGACTTGTTATTTTATATCAAACAAGAACTTCGCGATTCGGACGTGTCGCCTGACAATAGCATAAAAATTTATGTATATAAGCAAATAAGCAATTAGCAAATAAGCAAAGTGGCAAATCAGCAAATTGGCAAATCAGCAATTAGCAAATAAGCAATTAAGTAGTTGGCAAATAAGCAAAGTGGCATGTCCCTACCGGCATTCCATAGTTTTTTGTTTTATTGAAGTGCACAATATTTGAGCTTTTTGTGTAGTCTTTTCGTCTTTATGCGAATAGCGAATTTCATAACATAACAGAATATTAAAGAAATTTATTCAGTCGTAAAACGGAGACCCTTAGCTGTTGCACTGGCTAATTTACAATGGAATAATGACAATGGGTAAGTCACGCTTGGCACCGGAAGTCTGTGTTCTTTACAAAGTTTAGTAGTAAACTTTATTCAAGAAAAAACAAAATCGCCGAACCGGGAAATTCAAATTTTCACGTGTAAACGAAATCAAATCAGGCTTTGCAGTTTAAGCTATAAATTTACATGGTTTGATTATTTCATCTGTGAAATGCAAAGCGTCAGCTGAAACGAATAAAATACACACAAAAAACGACGAAAAATGAAAGAATTCGAGCGTTGTAATCTACAGGTTTTCAGTCAAAAGCACATTGAAATCCCGCACTATTTAATTGTACATTTACATATTTATTTTACTCTGGTTGCATTCGTATTGCCAATTTCATTACCTTTTGTATATATTCTAGTTTACGATAAATTTGAACAGTAAGAAATTTTATATTTCAATTCCACATCAAAGGCAGATATTATGAGCCCTATGACATGTTACGGATGATCTTTGTACTGGTTGCATGGATATCCACTTGCCCATACGAGCTCAGATTTAATCAATACATCCAGTTAACAATTTTAAATGTAAATGGTAACATGTCTTTATTCCAAAATGTTGAACTAATTACTTACAATAATCACATAAAACCTCTATACATTTCATCCTTTTCCTTGGAAAATATAATTCCCAACCTATAGTTTTTAGTTTAAATACCACCAATATTTAAATTATTTAAAAGCTCTGTGGGTTAAACAAATTGGAATCTAGTTAAATTGTGTTGCTGTTCATTGTATGATAGATTTTAGTGCAAGACGGTATCCAAACAAGTTTTGCTTTAAACTATCAAGAGTATTATATCCGTCAACATTTGTCTTCTTTAATTTTTGGTTTTGTGGAACTACATAAATGAATTCATTTAATAGCGTTTAATAAAGTTATCCTCTTTCCTGTGAATTAAGGATGTGAATTAAGATTTGTTGCGCGTCTGTTAAAGCTTTATTTTTGTTGTTTATAGCAACTTACGTTCTTATATAATCGAAGCATTATTTAAAGGGTAGGTTGGTTTATTTTGTGCGCATCAATAACAAAGTTATTACACAGAAGTTAACTAATTGCCATGCACACGAATTCATTGTAAAAGTAGAATCATTCGCGACGGAAGTTTGAATTTGAGTCAAAGTTCTACTGAAAAAAAAAACAACAATTTGAAATACTTGGCAATGGCTAAATTGCAAACGAAAATACGATCTATTTGAAATGAAAATTGGATAGTGTCCTTGAAGAATCTTTAAAAAGATTTAATTATCATATTAACTGAAACATCTATATCTAATAATCAACATGTATTGTGATTTTTTTCCTATCCCTTCAAAAAAGAAATAACTGTATGTGAAGATTACATAAGGAAGTAATTTTTTTATAAATATCTTTAGAGAATTGACGTTTAGATGTAATTCCAAGCAAATCCTCGTCTTAATCTAAAATAATAAATAATTAACTTATTTTCGCTGAACTGTTATTGTTAAGATGTGTCAAGACAGTAAATCTGACTTAACAATGACATTCAAGGACTTCATGAAACGTTGTTTACGCAATTATTCGTAACTTAATGTCATTTATATTTCAAGGGAATTAGAAAGTCTGTGTTGAAGTATTTAAATTTATTTTCTATGCCATGTTTAAAACATGGTCATTAAGTCTCAAATGATGTGTGGTTAGATTGAGTATGATATGATTTATCTATTTCCGGTCGGTCGGTTGGTCGAACATTCTAACAATTTGGTTTTTATGTGACTATTCTATTATTTAAAAAAAACACATAATACCAAAAAAGCCACATAAAACGTTACGGAATGAATAGGATCAAAGAAAATTTACTGTTTACTTACCTGTTGTTCCCGTTGCCATATTAACCCAAAATCTTGACTCGGTTAGTCGGTTGGATGGACGGTTATATAGGAACCATGCAATTGAAGCAACAAGTATTCTTTATCTTTTTATGACCTAAACTATACAAACATACGAGCAATTGTTGCTTGTAGTGTTTAAAAATCTTATATATATGACATTCCGACAAACAGTTGGATTAATCGTTTTATTTTCAACAATTGGCAGGTAACTTCTAGATTCATCATCGTACGAAAAAACTAACATAAAGGTAGCCGTCCAAATATATTTGAAACACTGGTCCGTACAAACTGCATAAATCATTTAATGTAAGAAATGACGACCGAACGATATTCAACTATAAATTAATCAGAAAATGTACCAGTCTTTTTTCTTTTCTGGCCACAATTTGCTTTGAATTGCATATTAAAGTATAAGTGGAATAAATTCTGATTCCAACGTGTTTCAAATGGAATGAATTTTTGTAAGAGTTCAAGTTATTATAGAATCACTGTCATATATTATGAAACTTGAGAAAATGTTTCGGATTCTTGGACCTGAACAGTTTCAATTATTCAACGCCACACGTGGAATGCGTTGCGTCCTTTTTACGATATGTGATACTGTTAAAATATATTACTAAAATGCATTAACAGTCATTGATGTGCCTTTTACCTGATATTGATATTGTTATGCAAGCTTGTTTACTTCTTTATACTTATGTTATTTTGAAAAAGACCCGCACTCTCACAATATTGCTTTTCCTAAGTCGCATTTCTTACCGTCATCGAAAGCGAAAATGTGCTTTACGACAGACCTTTATACAATGGTTCTTATGTTATTTACCAGCATTTTTGTAATTGAACCTGGCATGGTCTCAACATCTACGGCCATAAATTGGGTAAAACTTCAAGCTGAAGGACAATTCGTTGAAGACATATGCCCAGCGGAAGATATTCGGTTTGTGAAAGACACGGTTGCTGCCACAGTAACATGCGGTAAAATCTGTAATGAGGACAAGGAATGTAAAGCCGTTACGTATCAAGTGGATGATCATAAGTGCACTGGCTGTCGGGAGTTTTTGAAACCGTTTCCATCGGTTAACTCAGCTGGATTGCTAAAATTTGCAAAAAGAGGTTCGTGAATTTTGAACTATTTAAAGGCACTTTATGCCTCAAAATTAATAATTTTTTACTGTTTTAGAAAGGACAAACATTAGATTTATAATATTTAAATAACGGTATTTGAGCATGTTTGATGCTTATTTCCTAAACAAAAAGTAGCACTAAATGTGAAATAATTGATCTCGAAAGTAACAAAGTGTAAACAAATTAGTATTTTGACTTCCATACAAAATAATAAATCACTATAATTGTACTAATTGCCAAAGGGCATCAGTAAAAAAAGATGGATCAGGTAATTGGCCAATGAGTATCTTTTTAAAACTATTTAAGTACATTGAAAATGTAAACCTATTGAGAAATTAAAGTAAAAAGCATTTTTGGGGCATACTTGGCCTTTTAGAATGGGCACTTCGGTTGCTTATGTTAATTTTTTATTGGTCTGGTGTCAACACTGGCCGTTGGAAGTTGCAATTACTTAGAAATCCCAACTTCTCGAATTCCTTTAACTACCTTGGAACTGTTTTAACTACACTGGTAGCTTTAAATGAATCAGCAACATTTAGGACTATTAATGTAAATGTAATAAATATGATCTAAGTCCAAAACTATTACGTCAATTATTTAATGCCTGTTCTTTCTTTTCTGGACTATTCATGTGAAGATTAAAAGAATTAAATTTAAATTATTTAGAAAGATTTATAATTAAAAGTGATAAGGAATACATGCAATACATATGTAAATGGTGAAATGGGAAGGTCCCCATTGTATGTAAATAGATATATAAGAATAATAAAATACTGAATGAAAAGTTTAACACTGATAATATCTTATTGGAAAGTTGATATACTATTATGATGTACACAGATAAAAATGCACCACATGTTTGTTGTATGTTTGATGTAAAATAACACATGTTAAACAGGACCATGTGAAAAACATGTGTCAACAAACATATGTCAAACTCATGGTTATCACATGTTTTTCATATGAATAAGTTTTCATATGTTAAATATATGTGAACTTTCATGTGTTATTAATATGATAAATTTTTGATCATATATTCTGCAAGATTTACACTTTGAACAGTCTTCATTAGATTTTACATGACTGTACATAAATGCTTAAAAGATTCTTGGTTCGTGCATCTATGTACAACTTGTAAATGTAGCAAATATATGATGAAAAAAGTTACCTTCACTTCCAATACTTCTTATCATGTTGAAAAAAAATAAAATACTGTTTAAAAAAGATGAAAATAAATAAATGATAAATATCTTTTTATAGGGATAGCTGATTAAAGATTTAATTAAGGGGAGAACTGTCAGGGGAAAAAAAGTTTATTGGTGAATCGGCAGGGTGATGAACTGGTTAGGGGGAGAATAGTCTGCCATTCAGTTTTATTCTTTTTCACCTTTTGTATATGTTAGTGTTTACTAGGAATTTTAACAAACAAGAACCTAAAACGAAATGACCCGTAGGGAGTGACCTTGGGATTTTTATTGTTAAAATGTTCACTTAATAAAAAAAAACTTATACTGTTTTGAACACTGGGTCCGTTCTCTCGGTGCCTGAAATGGCGGATGGACTCTCATTAAGCCTAGAATACATACATACATGGTGTTGAACACTTAACACTTGTTCAACTCTTATGAATTATCAAGTTCAAGCAAACCAAACTCTGGAACACAATTAACCATTTGTAATGAAAAACATGATTCATGTGAATCCATATGTGAAAAACATAAATGTAACATACAGTGTCCTTTTCCTACCATATGAAAAACATATGTTATTCGTGTGTATCCACATGAAAAACATATGAAAAACATGTGTCTGCACCATATGTAGAATATATCGGGTACTTTTCTTGGAGACACCATAATTATGTTTCTATCATATGTGAAACATTTGTGAAGTATAGAAAAAAGTAAAAATTGAGATCCATTCATGACAGATGACAAGGGAAATTGAACTGAAATGGCAAAATACAGAAAAAATAATGAGGAAACATATTCAGAATATAATCGATTTTTTTTTCGCAATTGTTCGCACGCTTTGAGTGAATATCCATTAGGCACTTTTTATATTTTGACTCATTTTCAATTTAAACGATACAAGGTGTATTGGTCTGTCTCAAAAGGGGGGGGGGGGGGGGCAATCCCATCCATTCATGTCAAACCCTCTGTGAAACCCCTTTAAACTAAGTACGGATAACAAAATATTCAAATATACTATATATAGCATTAAGTACTGTGCCGGTTGTAAAGACTGAACATATTTTTTCGGAAAATTCAATTTGCACCATTTGATGTAGGTCCGAGCTTATAACTAGTATGCAAAATTTCAGATTATTCCCTCACACTGTTGTTTTTTTTTTCATGTGTTTTGTTATTTTTTATTTTTTTTTTTTTTTTTTTTTTTTTTCTCACAAAAATATAAATAACCGGGAATAAATCGCCAAAAAAAACAAAACAATTTTTAATTTAGGTCTGGGTATATTGACTATTTTCTTTATAATCTTTCGCAGAATTTGTCATTGTTAGTGTATATGCATGAATTTCAAAGTCTATATTTTTACGTTTTCAACCTCGGTTGAGTCCCTTTAATAAATTTTAAGTTATTTTTCATGTGAATTTTTCATTGTGAACTTATGGGACATCATAAACGTTAGAAGTGACTCCAGAAAAAGAAAGATGTGTGTGTGTGTGTGCGTGCGCGCGTGTGTGCGTGTGTGTGTGTGTGTGCGTGTGCGTGTGTGTGTGTGCGCGCGTGCGTGTGTGTGTGCGCGCGCGTGTGCGTGTGTGTGTGTGCGTTGGTGCGTGCGTGCGTGCGTGTGTGTTTTTATTTATTTCAAATTTTCTGGTGTGTTGGTCTTGATTTATGTTAAGTTTTAAGGTCTTAAATATATGTTTGGTACTTTCCGTATGCTATACGAGTTATTTTATTTGTTTTAAGAACACCTATTCGACTGCAAAGAAATCTTGGAAAGGGACAGGTTTGCAAAAACCGGTGTTTATACGATAGCACTTGGTGGAACAGAAACATCACAGGTTTATTGTGACATGCAAAACGGTATTGGTGGATGGACGGTATGTTAAATTGTTAAAATGATAAGGGGACTACACTTAATACCGTATTCCGGTAAATACCGGACAAAGCGCTTGAATGATTAATTAAATGTCAAAATCTCGCCTTTTCACCAAACGGAAAAAAAAATTTAACGTCTGATTCATCTCTAGACGATAATAAATAAAAAATGAAAGAATCGCAGAAAAAAAGATTGTGCTCATGATTTCTGCAAGCGTCTAGATGTACTGCTCCAATCCTGTTTGTTGACGTTTATATTTTACATGTACCTCAAACAAACGTCTTGATAATACAGACATATCTTTATTAACTAAGTGATTTCATTTCAAAATTATTTTACATGTATTCAATTTCATTTAAAAGCTTAAGATGAAAGAGAGAGAAAAAACGTGTTTCAGTCAGAAAATATAGTATGATTTTATCACATCTATGTTTTACTTCTGGTATTTTAACCTGGTTTTACGATAACTGTGGCTTACATTATATTGTCTCTCATAAATTACATTTGTAACCTCATGCACTTGTTGACCCCTATATGCTTGAACTGGAAGTGATAAGCCCTTGTCACTAGTAGATACAAACCAATGAGCACATAGTTTAATTTTTTATTTTTTTATTTTAAAATCTATAAAACTTAGCTTGGATTGTATCCAATTTTAAGCAGTGAAGATCCATTATACAAATTAATTAAGCCGGTATTAGATCGCTATTGAATTTAAGACGCTATACGTTCGTATAATCGGCATTGCTCTCAGTGAATTCTGATTTGTTTTTTGTTTTCCTTATATTGTATTGAAGGTTTTCCAACACAGATTTGATGGTTCTGTTAATTTCCAAAGAAACTTTTCAGCGTATGAGAATGGATTTGGGGACATCAATGGCGAATTCTGGCTAGGTATGTTTGGATTTTTTTATATATTTGTTTGATTTTTTTTTTGCTTGTTCGTTAGTTCGTTCATTCATTCATTCATTCATTCATTCATTCATTCATTCATTCATTCTTTCATTCAATCATTCATTCATTCATTCAATGACTTTATGTTATCTGCCATTGTTTGAATGACTGCTTGCTTGATTAATTGATTGATTGATTGATTATACATAAATTCATTCATTCATTCATTCAATCATTCATTCATTCATTCATTCATTCATTCATTCTTTCTTTCTTTCATTCATTCATTCATTCAATGACTCGGTACTGTACATTCTATGTTATCTGTTGTATTACTTGCTTGTTTAATTTATACATTAATTGATAAATTAATTAATTAATTAATTCATTCATTCGTTCATTCATATATTCATTCATTCATTCATTCATTTATTCATCAATTAATCGGAACTATTTTGGTACAATAAACTGATATCAGTCAAATATCAATGTAAAATAAAATGTTTTAGAATTTTTCTACCTGAGATCTTACAGACTGTTGTCTTAATATAAATGATAAATGCAATTCTAAATATTGTTGCAGGACTTAAATTCGTTCAAATACTGACTGAAATGCCGAGTGAATTTAGATATGAAATTACGTTTGATAGTGGAACGCCATGGATAGAAGAATTTAAACGGTTCAAACTCATTGGCGCTCGGTACGTGCTCTCCATAGCCGAAGAAGCCCACCTCAGATCAGGTGAGAGACAGTGAGAGGGAGGCTGTAACATTAAGCCTTACCATGCTGACAGCGAAATTGCGTATCGTTTGTCACCAGAAGAGATATCCAAGAAATGGCAGCTGGGCAAAGTTCAGTTCAGCAGATTTAATGATAAATATTAATATCATTTTACAATCTGACTAACGTTTAGATCTACTTATTTCTTTCTTGTAGATCTGATGACGACCCTATATGTTTCGCCTTTTTTTATAATTCGGATTTCCCGAGAGCGCTTTTTTAGCCATGCAATCAAACCGGTTTTTACATAGGCATTAGAAGAAATATCAAAATACCGTTATCACCGTAGGGAACGTGTTACAGTATCGCGTTTTTCGGTTACAGTATAGAATTTTCAAGATGGAGGATTATTTATGGGAAGAGAGGTAGGTGATTTTTATTCAGGTCCATACTACTAGTAGTGTAGTTTCTAAAAGATGTTTTTGTGCTTTGCTTGTAAGGAACATAATCCGGTATCTAGTCATATATTTCTTCAGACCCTGCACCGCAGATTTATCTCTATATTGTCTCATAAATGTGCAGATTTGACGGTTTAAAAATTTGAATCGAGAGACCAACGCATTTTTCTGCAATTTCGACATTATTTAAGCATGCCTAGATAAAGTAAATCTACAAAACGTTAGTCCTTTATGTTTAGAAACGTTTATAAAAGTAAATGACCAGTTCAACCTATTTTCCTGTTGGTAAAATGCATTTGAAAAAATAAACAATGTTACAGTATAGAGCGAGGTTAATTTTGAAGGGTTACAGCATAGACCTAGCGACTTTGATCCAATTTTGTTACAGTTTATACCCAGATTTCTGTTACAGTTTAGATACTTGCCAAATTTCAAACAAAGTTCGATTATCCATTATTTTTATGAAATAACTCATACCTTTCTATCTAATACATTCTTAAAAGGTTGTATTACTTTTTTTCTTCAGCAGAAAAGTTATAGTTTGCTATTTTTCTTACTTTAAGTTTCAGATTGAGACTTTTTGCAGAATAAGTAATGTCCTAAGTAAGGACTGTTTTCACGACAGTAACTTTTATCGAATTGTAATGAGAGAAGAAAGATTATTGCTTGATTTCATTACACATTATAATAATGCCTATTAGTAATAAAATAGAGAAAAAAGAATCCTTAACAGAAGTCCAACACGGAAAACATGAAAATGTTGCAGGCTCAGTTTGACTAAACCTGTTCATGGACTGTCGTGGTAACTGCGAGCTACCGTTCACGCCTCCTAGCACCGGCTTCAGCACAATTCACATTAAACATGAACTGGTACACTTCAGACTTTTTAACATCTGTGGATGTGTTCATATGGCGGTTATCATGGAACCTCAATGTGACACGTTATTGCCATTCTATGAAAAGCGGCATATTAAAACTTGTGTGTGCCTTAAACAAGAATACAATGAGTGAAACTAAACAAAATGAAATTTTGAGAGGGGATCGGGGGTTATGAAGCCTGCATACCATAGATAGACTGCCAAAAGACACAATAAACAAGCAGGCAAGTGAGCAATTCTGCAACCTTAAATTCTATTTTAAGTTGGAATTTCCATCTACCATAATGCATTTTGTAAGTATTTAAAAGGGTTTATGAACATTTTCAGTTTTGTTGTGTTGGAATTTCTTTAGCGATTCTGTTTAACTCTATTTTGTTACGTTTGGCTTTCTTGTATTTTAAGTTTCAACGACACCGAGGTCATGTGAAAACATTCCTGCTTTAGTGTAAAGAAAGACCCCGGATACCCTTTGTGAAACATTTTAGACACGAGCGCCTGACTAGAACCACCGACCTTCCGTAAATTAGCTTGATAGATTTCTCACATACAAAGAATCCAAAGTCATGATTGGATTTCAACTACAGCAGTAAATGAAGGATGATTTGAAGTCGACGGCCTTATCCCGACTCTGCCACTATTATGTACCTCCATCAGGCTCACTAGAGAAGATATTGCAATTGTCTGACCTTAATTTATACTCTATAACTTTCAATATTATTTTCTTTTTCAGAAACATGAAAACTGTTATACAGGATGTCTGAAATAAAAAAAAGCGACTTTTTATTTAACAATGACAAAATAATCGTAACTTCAACAAAGAAGCATTCGAAATGACGCCATGATCATGATTTGATTTGAATGCTTTTGGTCCGAGATGAGAAGGGTCTTAAAACATTGCCTTTTTTCAAAATCTATGTTCCCCGATTGCAACCGAAACCATTTGAACAACTTAATTGGTAGAAAGTCATGTAAATTTCATCACATTCAGTTAAGTAGTTACTGAGCGGATGAGATTGCACAAGCATGTGTACGATAGACGGACGAATAGCCATAGGGCCAATAAGCTCACAGATATTTAAAAGTCTATGTAACATTCATACATTTAAGCTAGTATAATTATATAGAAAATATCGAAGTCTAAACTGTAACCGAAATCTGGGTATAAACTGTAACAAAATCGGATAAAAATCGCTATGTCTATTCTGTAACCCTGCACAAATTACCTCGCTCTATACTGTAACATTGTTTATTTTTTCAAAAGCATTTTAACAACAGGAAAATAGGTTCAACTGGTCATTTACATTTATAAACGTTTCCTAACATAAAGGACTAACGTTTTGCAGATTTACTTTTTCTAGGCATGCATTAATAATGTCGAAATTGCAGAAAAATGCGTTGGTCTCTCGATTCAAATTTTCAAACTGTCAAACCTGCATATTTATGAGACAATAAAGCGATAAACCTGCGGTGCAGGGTCCGAAGAAATATATGACTAGATACGGGATTCTGTTCCTTACAAGCAAATCACAAAAACATCTTTTAGAAACTAAACTACTTGTAGTATGGACCGGAATAAAAATCACCTACCTCTCTTCCCAACAAATAATCCTCCATCTTGAAAATTCTATACTGTAACCGAAAAACGCGATACTGTAACACGTTCCCTACGGTGGTTATACGTGGAAAAAATGTTTATTTTAGAAAAAAAGATGTTTGAAGTAATTTTTAACAAATACTTGAAAAAATAGAGCCAAGATTGTTTTGCCAGTTTACCGTTATGGAGAATGTTTGGCCTCAAAATCATGAAAACTATACTCAGTATTGGTTTTAACAGGGTTAAAATTAGAAACCACATCCCTTTCAAAATTTTGAAAGCTCGCCGAAAATAACTTCGTATATTGTCACGGTCAAATCTAAAATCAACGAGTGTTTGTATTTGGTGAATTAACAATTGTATCATACTAGGGTTAAATCGTATACACATATATACATGTACAGTGCGTTAGCTAAAGCGCAGATATTAGTTTAATATACCATCACTCCAGAGCACGCCCATTGATTGGCTCATTTTTCCGGGGTTCACTTACTGTGACGATAGAGAAGGTGGTACCGACAATCGAAACTTCTCGAACACACAGCTAAGATACGATATTTAACCTACGCTAAGAAACTAAACATGTAAACAAAGAGTAATATTATGCTGGTGAGAGTTGTTGACAAGTTTTTTTTCCAATAACCTAAAATAAGTAAATAAAGTAACAGATATAAAAGTTAACAGTAAATTATTTATGTACTTATCATTATTATGTGGCTTTAGAAACCGAAAGTAAAAAAAAATGCCAACCTGTTAACATTCAGTCGGATTCGTTTATTATTATAAATCAGTGGGTATATTTAAATTAAATAAATTAAAAAAAATGATTGCCAGACATATTTTCAATCATAATTGTACTGAAAAAGACTTTATTTTGAGTTGGATGTCAAATATATACATTCGATTTACATTGTCAAAGATTACACTCTCTTTTTTTCTTTACATTTGAAAGCACATGGTAGAACTACTTTCAAACCGTATTAACTCCAGGGTTATTAGGAATAATAGCCGAGGACGTTCCGATTGGGGTACCGAAAGAAATAGTCATATGCTCGTTATTGCTTAGATTTTTTTCTGGGGTTTCATATTGTGACGACAAGGAACGTGTTTTTATTTTTGCCTGTGATAGAAAAGAGAAGAACATCAAAACACTCGACAATCGGATTTATACTCGGGTGGCTATGCCCCTTCGTACAAATCAGATATCCTCGTGTTTCGATGCTCTTTCTGTTGCATGGAAATTTAACTCGTGTCTAAGGCCAAATCATATTGTTACCCACGGTATATATTTCGTGCATATTTCATAATCTGGACAGTGTAGTATGTACTGAATATATGCCATTGGTGACCGACGATGAGGTGTATCTGTAAAATAATTTGCTCTTTTCAGGAAACAATGGGGAATCGTTCGCGATCTTCAATGAATCTCCATTTGTGGCGCTTGGTGAGGATTCTACAACGTCTTGTCTTAGTGGCGACCAAATGTGGTGGTGGTATGCCAATCAAAAATGTGACTACGTCCTCAACCTAAACATTTTGTACGGGACAAAGACAGAAGTATGGCGAGCGGCTGAACCAGACAACTACAGACTTTTAAAAAGTTCCAAAATGATGATCAGAAGAAAATGAAAAATATTCCAAACAGGACAAGTGAATTACAGGCACCATATTCACAAAGAAGATGTATGGATCAGGATTTAATGATTTTCAACCAACCTTTTTTCTTTGAGATTCATTTTTTCTCACATAAAATTGATAGTATTAGACTAGAATCAAAGTAACGTAGACAAAATATATGTAAAAATGCTTATTTGCAAAGAAACAACTTTATTTTATGCTTTTCAGTGGATTACTGATTTATCCGTGAAAATTATATTTGATAATTTCACGGTGAAAATTATCAAAATATAATTTCACACTTTTCAATGACGAAACTACTTTTTTAAGATTTTCCCCATGTGGTACCTCAATTTTATTTTTGCTGACAATTCTGACAATGTCAGACTGTTTAAAGAAAAGCAAACCTGAAATTGATTAATAACTTAAATGTCAAAAGTAATAAAAAGAAGAAAACTTACTTCTATTCATTCAAATTCCAATCACCAAATTTCGTCTCTAAATTTTTTTGTTTCATTTTTAGTCTGAAAAATATATTCTTTCCACATACAAAACTGCTCTTGATGACATTTGGGCATATTAAAGTATCCTACGAGCAATAACTGCCGTATGTTTTATGAAAACTTGAAAAGCAATGACAGCTTTCCCCGGAGAATAAGTAAACAACCGAGCGTTCCTGAGCTAGCCTTTGATTAGTTTGAAGTTTTCCATTTTCCTTGCTGCTATTTGAATGATTTCACATCTGTCAACACTTTTTTTCTGTATGTTACAACCCTCAAATAAGTTTTCTTTCTTTCAAAAAGGTGTATTACTAACAAATCCAAATGATATCCCTCTGAATCAAACACAATCATATTCCTCCCGTGAAATACACAACTTTAAATAATGGCTGCCACTTACATTTACAAAGCCAGGTCTAATATAAATTCGCAGTAAGTAACGGAAATATGGATGGATGGTTTGACTTTTTCTCCTACAAGAATTGTTTGTTTTTATTAGATTCTATTAAAACATGCGATAATTCATATTTTTTTAATAAAATGAATAATATCACCGTCATTTAACGTTGATTGTGGAACTAATTTTTTAGCTCAAGACTTCTTGTATTTAATGAGAACTTCCGACTAAATGGGGCTCTCAATGGGGAAAACAGATTTTAATATTAACGTTAATATTATAGAAATTTCGTTTTAACTGGTTTTAAGCATAAAATAAAAAGAAAATTTGTTTGTTTGTTGTGTAAGATGTAATTTTATTTCATCTCGTGAACTTTAAAAACAGTATTCTCACTCGTGGCTACGCCACTCGTGAGAATACTGTTTTTAAAGCCCACTAGATGAAATCAAATTTCATCTTACACACAAACAAACAAATATCCTCTATTTATTTTGGAAAACTTTATTTTAGAATAAAAATTGAGTAATAACAATACTTATAATATTTGTCATATGTTACGGTTCAGATCGGAATATTCGACCCGAGGTTAACACGCCCATTGAGCAGTTCCGAGGCTAACATTTCCAATTTTGCCGTGTTGGGCTGTCTTTAGGGATTCTTATTGTCTCTATTTTGGCAAGTTTCCGGCCATGGGCGGGTACCAGAGAGTGGTATATTTCGATCTGAACATGGGTGACCAGATATTTTTTTTCTTGATAATATCTGTCATATGTTGCGGTTCGGACCGAAATATCCGACCCAGAGGAGACCCGCCCATTGGGCGGTAACGAGGCTTGCTATGCAAGAATGCATATTCTGCCATATTCTGCCATATTCATTCATATTTAAAATGATTTACCATAATAAGATATATATTTCATCCATGATAACATTTACTTACAATAGCGCATAAATTTAGAACTTTGATAACAACAGCGAAATGACGTCATCCTGAGCACATAGTTCCTTTCTTATCTGCGTCGGAATGGCGTTAAACGCGGTTTATTCAAAAACTGCTCTAAAATGACGTTGTTGTATGGCACGCGACTCATCTAGCACCTCCGATGCCAGATGAAATTTCCGGTATGGGTAAAACTAACGGAAAAGCCAGACTGCTATGCAAGAATAATTATGTCATAGTTGCGGTACAGATCGCAATATCCTTCCCGAGGGGACTCCGCCCATTGGGCGGTAACTGGCCTTCCCGAGTTACCGCCCATGGGCGGGGATATTCCGATCCGAACCGCAAACATATGTCAGATATTTTTTCCTTGCATATTCTGCCATATTATTTCACATTTAAAATGGTTTATCTCAATACGATATTTGTTCATGTAACTTAATGTCATATCTTACAATAACGTACGAATTTACAACTAAACAATGGCGAAATGACGTCATCCTTAGCACATAATTTCCTTCTAAAATGACGTAAAATAAAGTTGTTGTATGGCACGCGACTCATCCAGCAACCCCCATGCAAGATGGAATTTCCGGCATGAGTAAACTAATGGAAACGCCAGTCTGCTATGCAAGAAAATAGCATCTAAATAAGGATCAGTTTTAGAATCAACATTTCAATATTTAGTTCAACTTTAGAATATATATTTATCATACACCCGTGCCGATTTTGCGACTCCGTAAATATGGTATTGCACGGCCGTGCATATATTTTGACGTGACGTCATTAGCGTTATACAAACATAGTGTAAAGACGCGCTAAATGTTAGCGTTATACTATAGGCGCGTCAATGAAATATGATTCTTATTTCACCTTAAACGGTCTTTATTTTTGGTATGTGATAAATAGAATATCAAATTCGTGTAAGTTCATTACTGAATTTATTGCATTCGTTGAATAAAATGATATTATGCTCGCCAGAGGCTCGCATAATATAATTTTATTCAACTCATGCAATAAATTCAGTATTGAACTTACACTCATTCAATATCCTCTATTTCTTGCATAGCAGACTAGCGTTTCCGTTAGTTTTACTTATGCCGGAAATTTAATCAGGCATATTGGAAAATGTGTGTAAATATGGAATGACATCGCTGTTGACGATCTCTTTTTAGACATGTGACGTAACCATTAAAAAGTTCGTCTCGCTGAAGATAAGTAGCGCAATGTTGCTAAATTGCCAGGTGCGGCATTTATTTGTTGCTGGACATCGTGTTAGAATCGAAATAATTGATCCAGAACAAGCTGTGATTTTACCGTTTGATAAAATCACTGTTTGTCATTCTGATGTGCAGCATTATACAGTATAAACATTATTCATACAAAGGCAATAGGAAACCCATCCTCTAGAGTTGTTCAAGGTCTACATTTTCTTTCGTCCAATGATATTTTTGTGGCCTATGCCATCTGCCCGCTTCTACCTCTAAATAATGTGATGACATTCTCAGTCTTAATAATGCTTTTCTAAACTTAGTTATTTTAACAATGTCTAAATATGGCTGATACCTAAAACATGAAAAAAGTATATATGTCATGGCTCTTGTCGAATTTTTTAATTGAGCGTTCCAAAGTTGTAAACAATTATCATACAGTCTTTGCTTAAATACATCTTTAAAAATAGTTTTGTTTCCAACTCCTTGGGATAGCCACACATGATTAAAACCTTCTGAGTCTAGTAAAAGTTTAATATTATATGCCCATTAAATCTTATTAGGATACATTTCTGAGTCTCTTAACATGATATCGTATACATGTCTTATATATGTTGTGCTTTCGCATTCTTATATTTTAAACCAGTATCTTACTATACATATTAGCCTATTAGAAAGTAAACTTGTTCGACCTAATTCTCAATGGGCACGTACTCCTAAAAGTTGTTTACAATAATGTAAATGTATTCTTTCTATAACATTTGTTTCTTTGAATCCCCATATTTTACATCCATAGTTTAATATAGGAACAACTAACATGTCAAACAGTTCTTAGGAGTACTTAACATCAATATTAGTTAATTAAACTAATTAAGACTTGAGTTTGTATATTGCCTTCAACGCCTGGCCCGCTAATGCCTCGTGCGTTGCGCTAAAAGAACCATCTGTGGTAAATGTATTACCTATAGCGTAATTTGGAACGACATTTACATAATTAGAAGATACTACAGGTTATTAAGTAATTATACAGGAAATATTCGTAGATAATTGAACATATGACGCACATATAAAATAAGATAAGGTAAAATATAAGAAAAGAAAATAAATTCATTTACTATAGTGACATGTGTAAAATTAATGATGTGATACATGTGAATAAAGAGTAACTGTATTGACATATAACCCAATGGACCTTTGAGTCTCCAAGTCACCTTAAATTGACAAATATCAAAGAGTCTTCATTTTTTTTATGAAAAAAAGTTTGCATTATTACTGTGCAAATGGAATGATAGTTATTGTAAATGTATATTTTATTATTCTATACGTGTTCATATCTTGAGCAATAAATTCAGATCAATATTGTATTGTTCTTTATTTCTCACGTGACTAGGCCATTTGATAAGTATAAATATGGTATTAAATTGGCATTATAATGCGTTTTAATGTGCGTTATAACGCCTTTTGGTTCGCGTTACTACGCCTTTATTTGCGTTACAACGCCTTTTGATTTGCGTTATTACGCCTTTTGTTTAACGTTATAATGCGAAAAAAGGCGTTATTACCCAAATGAGTGCCTGTTTTCAAAGTTTCCCTAAATTTTTAAAAAAGTATATTGGCTGATCTTGTAAAATATGAAACCCTTTTACCGTCTTGTTTTGATTATATTACTCTTTAGAAAAAAAAGGTACCATATTTATTACTATGTTTAGCATAATTCAGCCAATAAATACCTATATAAATTAAAAAATCAAAATTAAACACTTTTTTCTTTCCAAATGGGACATGAGAGATAATGTTAAAAGAAAAAAAAGAGTGAGAAAAAAAGTTTACCCTTCTGGGGATTGAACCCATGGCCCTCATTTTCAATGTAGTTAACAGTAGTTCTAGCCTATTTGAATACTCTTCAAAGCGGAGGTAATGCATTAGGGTGCTAATACCTTAAGTAATAAATCTACATTAATTAA